AGAGAACTATCACCATTCTCTGGTTATGTGATACTGTCCAACAGGCAGCCAGCAGCGTTAGACTAAAAAATAATCACAATCCACTTGAACTGCTCATCTGGTATCTTTCTTTTCTATAAACAAGGACATGTCTTATATTGCACCTTGTCTTGCCAGACGAATGACCAAACTCACATCAAGCAGAGAAGAGTGCACCCTGAATGTCAGTTTGCAGAATAAATAATAAGAACTAACCTGTCTGTAAGTTTAGATTGTGAATGGCATTGGGCCACATTCACCAACTGATCGTAAGAACAAAGTTGTTCATAAAACCCACTTACAAAGTTTTCACAGAGAGTCTGGCATTCAGCATTGTTTTCTTGGGATTTGTTCTTAGGTAAGAACAGAATCTGCGCACACTGAAGAGCACATGTATGCACATTTGAGCACTGATGTGTTTGTGTGAAATAACTGGTGATTTAGTTTTCTTCATTTCTACAGTTATATAGTATAAGATTTAAGTTACATTAACAGTTTTGTTATTATTAGTATTTCTTTAATTGTTGTTATTTTACAAAGCATTATTGTCTTTTAAGATGAATAAACACTACGCTAAAATTTACAGCAGTCAATTAATTGCTTGTTTATGAATCAAGGCTTTAAAAACTAACTTTACAGTGTGATCATTGTAGCTTAGAATTAGGAAACACATTACTTAAAAACCAAACAGGTCTTAGTGCATAGCTTTATGTCTAGTTTCTGTTCATTTCTCACACTTTCAACTTACAAACACATGGGATTCGTCAGACAAAATTTAAGAAAACACTTAGTGGTGTTGGTGAATGTGGCCCCATCCATCCATTTTCCTCCACTTATCCGGGACCGGGTCGCGGGGGCAGCAGTCTAAGCAAAGATGCCCAGATTTCCCTCTCTCCAGACACTTCCTCCAGCTCCTCCGGGGGAATGCAGAGGCGTTCCCAGGCCAGCCAAGAGACATAGTCCCTCCAGCGTGTCCTGGGTCTTCCCCGGGGCCTCCTCCCGGTGGGACATGCCCGGAACACCTTCCTAGGAAGGCGCCCAGGAGGCATCTGAAACACATGCCCGAGCCACCTCAGCTGGCTCCTCTCGATGTGGAGGAGCAGCGGTTCTACTCTGAGCTCCTCC